ACCCCCTGCTCCTGGGTCCCTGCTCCTGGGCCCCTGTTCCTGGGTCCCTGCTCCTGGGTCCCTGCTCCTGGGCCCCCTGCTCATGGGCCCCCTGTGTTCCTGGCCCCCCCCCTGCTCCTGGGTCCCTGCTCCTGGGCCCCTGTTCCTGGGTCCCTGCTCCTGGGTCCCTGCTCCTGGGCCCCCTGCTCATGGGCCCCCTGTGTTCCTGGCCCCCCCCCTGCTCCTGGGTCCCTGCTCCTGGGTCCCTGTTCCTGGGTCCCTGCTCCTGGGCCCCCTGCTCATGGGCCCTCGCCCCACGGGCATTCATCACACAGCCTCTTGCGGTGCGCAGCATTATTTTCTGCTCACTGTTAACCTCACCGGTCATAATTTTTAGCTTCCTGTTAACCTTACTACTTTATAGAAGCTGTTACGCGAGGCTCAGCCATAAATTCTCATGAAGTGCATTTGAAAGTGGTGTCAGCGCCTGGGGTGGGTCTTGCACATGCTTCTGCTGACCGCGAAGCTGGAGGTGGACACAGGGTGGGGGTTTGTCCCCCAGGGCTGAGCTGTGGGCCCAGCCAGGGGGGCAGTGACCTGGGTCACCACAGGCTTCGGACGGGCCACGCCCCTCACTTGTGCAGAAGGAAGACTGGGCCCTGGTGCTCCTTACTTGGGGGTTGGCGGCTGTGAGCGCCGGGGTTCAGGGACAGAGCACGCGGAGTCCAGCAGTGGGGGCTGGGTCTCGGGAGCCCCGGGCAGGCTCCAGCAGAGCTCTGTGTGGGGTGCTCTTGGCGTAGAAAGCACCGGTACTAAGCTCTGGGTGCCAGCTGTTTAGGGGGTCTGATGTTGTCCGTGAGACCCCGGAGTATGTCAGAGTTGGGCTTCCAGGGCCCCTGTCCCGGTAGTTCCTGGGGCCCCTCCAAGTCTCCCTCTTCTGAAAGAGCTTGAAGCATTTCCGGGCAGTGAGCAAGGACTCGGAGTTGTGCCCGCCCCCGGCAGCTCGCGCCCCCACCGCTGACCCGGGGCTCTGCGCCCTCTGGCTGCTCCCTCACAGAGGTCTGGGAGCCAAAACCCCAGGTGGGGGCCCCGAGGACTCGAAGCGCAGCAGCCCCTGGGGCCTCCCCAGGGCTCCCCCGGACTGGACTCCTGCCCCCTGGTGCTTGTTCTGTCTCTAGAGCCCAGGGGGGCTGCTGAGAGGCCTGGGGCTGCCCCCTGGAGCCAGCAGCACCGGAGACTCAGGTCTAGGCCCGTCGTCAGCCGCTGGGGGCGAGAGGCAGGCGGCACTGAGGTCCGGGGCCCGGTGCCAGGCCGGGCAGGCCCCGTGAGGGGACACGAGGCGAGGGCCGACCCTTCCCTTCCGAGCCCTGACCCCCCTCGCCGCCCTTCCCCCTCCCTCCGCCCACCCCAGCCCACACGGCTCAGCTGTCCGGGGCCTCCTGGACAGGGTGTCGGAGGCATTGAGCGGCACCGTGGGGAAGCCAGCCGCGGGGGGCCCGCCACCTCCCGACAGCCCTAGGCCTGCAGTGTCTGCTGGGGAGCGGGGGCGCAGGGCGTCCAAGGAGCAGAGAAGGGTCCCCCCCCCCCACTGGCCGGGCTGTGCAGGTCCGAGTCGTGCCGGGCTGGGGGGAGAGGCCCAGGGTGCCCCGGGGGCTGGTACGCTGGGAGGCTGCGAGAGTTGGGGTGCAGTCGGGAGTTCTGGGAGTGAGGCCCGAACCAGCAAGGCCGCCAGGCGTCGCCTGACCTTGCAGAGAGGCCGCTCAGGCCGTCTGGTGGAGACGCGGGGCTGGCCGTGGGGACCGCCGGGCCTTGGAGGCCACGGCCCACTCGCCCAGGAGTCCCCGGGGGCCTGCCGACCGCAAAGCTGGAGGTGGGTACGGGGGGGTTGTCCCCCAGGGTTGGTGGGTACAGGGGGGTTGTGGGCCCAGCGGGGGGACCTGAGCCGCGCGCTCCTGCTGCCCGCCGGGCCGCTTGATGTCGCAGTGGCCTCAGCAGGGAAACGGGGCCATGGAGTTGCCTGGTCGCGGCTCCCGCCGGCGTCTCCTCCGTCCCACTTTCACTGCTATTTGGGGTTCACGGTTGCTTTAGGCTAAAAATACATGCTCCTTTGTGTCTGTTGCTAAAAATAAAATCCTTTTTTTGATTCTCGTAAAGTTTCAGGGCTTCAAGTACACATCTGAGTCCCAGAGACGACGCGTGGTTTTTGGTTTCCGGCTGCAGTTTCCTTTTCCTTGCTCTCCCCTGTGTATAACGTCTGAGGTCTCGGGGAGCCTGTGTTCGTGGCGGCGGGAGCCCAGCGAGAGTGCAGGCGGGGCGACCGCCACGGTCCAGACGGGCGCACGCCGGGCTCCGCGGCCATTTGGGAGAAGCGGCGGCCCGGGCTCCGCGGGCGTGGCCGGCAGAGCAGGCTGCTGAGCGAGGCTCCCGTGCAGGGTGGGCCCGGTCCTCCCTGGGCAGCCTCCGGGTCTCCTGGCTTGTGCCCCTTCAGGTCACGGGCTCCTATTGCTTCTGCAGAGAGGGAACGTGGGAGGCGTCTCAGGGAGCCCCGGGACTCCCGCGGCAGAGTGGGGAGCAGAGCAGGCAGGTGGTCTGAGGTCCACTGCTGAGGGAACCGGGGGAGGCAGGGGAGGGCTGCCGCGCCCTGGGGGGTCCTGCCTGGGGGGTCGCCGTGGTGCTGCAGGGGCTGGTGACTACTGGGCAGCGCCCCGGAGAGGCCCGAGACTGCTGCTTCGACCGCTGTTCACTTCAAAACGGCGATTCCCCGCGGTCCAGCGGACGCAGGCCGCCGGCCGGGGGTGGGGGCAGCGGGCAGCGGGCAGCGCGCCGCGCGGCTGGGTGGACCCCTGGGAGCTGGGCTGTTCCGAACGGCCACAGCGCGGTCGGTGGGGCCGCAGCCTGCGTCCAGCCCGGGTGGCCTTCGCGGGGCTCGGCCGCCCGGTGCCCTGAGCGCCCTGCACCAGGCGCCGTGCGTCAGCAAAGGCTGGTGGGCGGCACGGGAAGGCGCTGAATGTGGTCTCCGGGGAGCCCGCAGGCCTTGTCCACTGCCAGCCCGCTGCTGTCCGCCGTCGGCGGAGGCCTTGGGCGCCGCCCCCCAGTGGCCGAGCTGCTGCTGAGAGGCCCAGCGCCTGGCTCCCCGGCGTCTTCTCCCCTCTGCGCGGCGAGAGCGGGGCAGGGGCCGAGGGCGCGAGGCGCAGGGCTGCTCGAGGCCAGCTCCCAGCGCGGCAGCGGTCGCTCCGAGCCCCCTCGGCTCCCCTGGACACTGGGCTGGGCGGGCTCGGGGAGACGTGCCGTGCTGGCCGCCGGCCTGGGTTATGGGGTCAGCCCCTTCAGCCTCGTGCGTGGGCAGTGGGCACCGTCTGCTTCTGAGAACAGATGACCGCTCCACCTCCTGCCCCTTGCAGCAGCTGCTTGGCGGGAGAGGCAGCAGCCCAGCGGGGCAGCCAGAGATGCCCGCCCGGCAGGTGCCTGGCCAGTATTCCCTGGGGCCAGATTTGTCGAGTGTCCCCGTGAGTCGGAGGGTGGCCGGGCGCCCGCTCTGAGCTGCACAGCAGTAAGGAGAGGGACTCGGAGCCCACCACAGCTGTCCTGCGCCCCACTTCGGGGCCCTCCCCACAGCTGCACCCCTGGATGACTGGACACATGTGCTTGGCAGAGGGGGTGCGGTCGGGAAGCCGGCAGTAACAGGCAGCAGCCCAGGGTCAGCCCGAGGTCAGTCCCTGCGACACTGGTCCACGCGATACAGTCTCGGGGTGGCCGCTGTCCAGCGCTGTGCCATCCTGACGTGGTCAGCCTCCAGCCGCCCGGCGCCGTCAGGGGCGTGTGGCCAGGCAGGGCGCATGGGCGCCGTGCGAGGCGGCCCCCGCGTCGGGCAGGCGGGTGGCCCGAGCAAGGGGCTGCGGGGTGTCGCCCGCCGGGGGCCGCAGTCCGTCTCCCGGCAGATGCACGGCGGTGAACGGCCACTCTGTTGGTCGGGCCGCGGGATGTGGCTGCCTTGGGAGGGCGCGGGCTCGGCCCTGGCAGCCCCCTGGAGGGCTGTGCGGAGGCCGGCAGGGGCTGGAGGGGGACCCACCCCCCGCTGTGTGTCCAGCCCGTCCCCAGGCCCCGTGACATCGTCCTTCACGATGGTCAGGGGCGGAGACTTGGACCCCGCAGGCCCTGCCTTCTTGGGGCACAGCACCCCTGTCCGCTTGCAGGGCGGGGGAGGCCGGCCGGCTGTATGCCCCTGGCTGGGTGGATGGGACACACAATGGGTGGTCACACGGGTCCCCCCGGCCGCCCTGGGCGAGAAGGGGACGCCCGGTGCCCGGCAGTGGGGGTTCAGCCCGGCCTGTAAGGCTCAGCGGCCCGCAAGGCCCCTTGGCGCAGGCCTCGGCCAGCCCGCAGGTCGCGCTTGGGGGTGGTGCGTCCGCGAGCCCCACGACTGGTGGGGTGCGGCCGGGTGGCCCCAGTCCTGCTTTGGGCCCAGCGGGTCTTTCAGAGCGGGGCTTCAGCGGCTCGTGGCGTGCTCCATGGCGAGCGCTCGCCATCGCCTGGCCACCCTTGAGCTCTGTGTGTGTCTCCGGAACGGGCCTCGCGTGGCCTCTCCGCTGGTCGTTAGCCGTGGGAAACGGAGGGACTCTGCGTCACCACGAGGCTAAGTCCGGGCAGAGCACACGAGACAGCCCAGCTGTGACGGCTCCGGGACAGGCCGGGGCCAGAACCCAGCTGACCACGGGCCGTGAAGCCTGAGCCTCCGCATCGTCACGCACGCCGGGCTGCTGCTGGGGCCCTGGAGGGGGCCCGCCTGGGCAGGCCGCGGCGTGGGGGCCACGGGAAGGCAGTCGCCCTTTGGGGCAGGAGTGTGTCGCGTTGGGGAAGGACGTGGGCAGGACCGGCTCCTGCACGCTGCAGGTCTCCGGGTCTCGGGCGGGAGCCCCAGAGGTGGGCGCAGGGGCGGCTGCACCTCCCGGCCGAGCAGCGCACTCGGGCTCTGCCCTGGCACCTCAGTGAGGCCCGTCTGACTGTGCCCTCCTGTTTTGCAGACGCCTTTGTGAACAGCCAGGAATGGACGCTGAGTCGGTCTGTCCCAGAGCTCAAAGTGGTAAGTGTCCCTCGCCCCGCCCGGCCTCGTCCGCGGGGGGGTGGGCGCTGTAGTCCGTCCGTCCCCCACAGCCCAGTGGAGGCCGGGCGGGCGCCCTGGGGCACCCTCTGCGGGGGGTCTGGGTGGTCCGGGAGGGCGCCCCGGGGCCTGGGGCCGGCGCCTGCGGGCCCGTGCTGGCCACATCAGCTGACCACGGCCAGGCGGCCACGGCGGGCAGCGCCCCCACCGAGTCTGTGCTCTGTGGTGACCCGTCTGCGCTGGGCGGGAGCCGCAGCGGTTCCTCTAAGGAGCTGTCGGCAGCCTTGGCTGTTCATGGGTGGAAAAGTATTGACAGTATCGGTGTAATCTGAAAGCGGTGCTCTCAGTGACGGCATGTGAAGCCGAGAGTTGGCTTTTGTGAGATGCTACTGGGCCTGTTGTGACCTCATGACACACCTCCACCCCCCGGGCACCCCCCACCTTCCCCCGAGGGCCACACTGCCGGCTCCAGCCTTGTCTGCTGCCAGTAAGTGAATTCCTCAGGCTTTTCCTGCCACTGGCCTCTGGCCTCACCCGTGGCCTGGATCATGTTGAGGCCGCAGGCGCTGGGGCCTGGCCCGTGGCCGACGGACACCTGGGCCTCCAGGCGGATGAGTGCGCGGTGGCGGTGAGGGCGCCAGGGCGGAGGCCCAGAGGAGGGCTGGCCTGTGGGCCGGGAGGCCCGCTGCCGCCGCCTGCCCCGCACAGCCCGGCTGCCTCCGCCGGTGCGACCGCGCCCGCTTCCCCGAGGCCTTAGGCCCGAAGCACCACCCGCGGCCCCGGGACGCTCCACTGTCCATTTGTCTGAGTGCGGCGTGGACCTGCCCTGTGCTGCTGCCGACATCTGCCCGTCGCCTGGTCTCTCCTCGTCCCCGACTTGGGTGGGCCGTGGGGTCGGGTTCTCGGGTTTCCTCACTCCTGAGAGACTGAACAGCCACCGGCAGCGACTGCCTTTGCCCGCCTGGAAGAGCGCCTCTAGCTTCAGAAACACGGCAAGACGCGGGGCCGGCCCTGACCGGGCAGGTGTGCGCCCCTGGCCCCGGCCGGCCGCCACTTGCCGGCGCGCTCTGTCGCAGCCCACGGCCTCCCTGGCCCCTGGCTCCTGCCCTGGGCGCCACCCTTGCCGGGCACTTCCCGGCCCCGGTGCCTTCGGAAGCCCAGCTTCGCAGCATTCGCCCAGAGCGGCCGGCTCTCGCCCATGTGCACCACACGGACCGTGGATCGCCCGGCCCCGCCTCAGCCCCGCCTCAGCCCCGGAGCCTTCGTGATGAGCCTGCCTGTCCAGGGTGCTACCGGGGGCAGCGTCGTCCCGGGAGTTTCCCCAGAAGATGAACCGGTTTCAGACACACCCTCGTGGGACGACCCCGGGCTGCTCCGGTCCCGCCATGCTGGTGAGCCACAGGAATCAAGTCGGCACTGCCTCTGGTCTGCGAGCACCTCCTCTGGTCTGGAGCACCACCCTTGAGTTCTGCGCTGCCCGTGGGGCGTGTCCTTCCCGAGAGCCTTTCCCACGGCTACTCCCGACTGCTGCCCCAGGGGACCCTGCTTCCTCTCCCACCGCCTGGAGGACCTGTCACCACGAGGCACCCGCATGTGCTCGAGCTTCCCTTCAGCATGGGGCTGCTGGCCCTCGGACTGTGGTCCGTGCCACCAGGAGCTGGACATCGGATTTTACGTAAAGTTCATGAAGTCCAATCCCCGTAGTCCTCCAGGGGGCCGGGAGTCGGCCCCGCGTGTGTGTGGGCTGTTGAGACCGCACTGGCAGGAGTGTCCATCCCAGTCCTGCCCATCGAAATCCAGGGTGCGCACGCCCAGAACCGGGCGTTTCTGCCGGCGTTTCACAGACGTGTTTTCTGGAGCAGACGACGGGAGGCGGAGCGGGAGGCCCCGGGGCGGCGTGGGTTTGAGCTCCCGGAACTGCCTGGAGGTCGGCTACGGCTTGCTGAGGGGACAGCGCCAAGGGGACACTCACCGTGGACATTCGCCGCGAGTGACCCCGCAGTTCTGGGGCCCGTGACCGTGTGGACGGACGGCCGCTCAGCGCCTCCCGCCGCCCGCCCCCCCAGATGTCCCCACAAAGCGCCCTTTGTGCACAGCAGCCCGAGCCAGGAGCGCCTGAGGTCAGTGCCTCGGGACCGGGCTCCACGGCGCCGTGCTGCCGCCGAATGACACCGCAGCCCGCCGCCAAAGGGCCTTTATGGGGCCTCGCGCCGGAGAGAAGACCGCAGTGTCCGCCCTGTCCCGGGCACACGCTGTGCCGGGCGGGCGCTCAGGCGCCGCCCGACCCCGGCAGTGCCCGCTCTCGCCGCCGTCACGCCCTGGCGTCGGGGCCGCCCAGCTGGGACGCTCACTGACCACCTGCTCCTCAGCAGCCTCGCATCGAGCAGTAGATGGCGTGTGGGCAACAGCAGCTGCCCGTGAGCACCGGGGCTGGGGCCTCCCGGGCCTCGGGTCGGCCGGGCAGGGACGGCGGCGGGGGCGCCCTGCTCCCTCTAAGGTCCGGTGCCCCTGCCCCCTCCCGCAGCCGCGCCCGACCCGGGGTCCTGGGGGCCCGTCCCTCCTGAGTCTCCCCGCAGCACGCGTGCGGCTGGGGCCTGTGAGCCGTTCGCCCTCCCGGGCCCCGGCCACTCCGGGCGGCCCTGGGGAATCAGAGGAATCAGGCGAGGGAGGGGCGGTGTGCCCAGAAAGCCCTGGCTGCGCAGCTTTGCATCTGAGCGTTTTCCTCCTCGGGAAAGAGAGTCGCTCACCTTAATTAAAAATTTAATTCTGTGGCCTACCGCTTCGGGGTTTCTCAGCGCGGAGCTGACAGACAGCAGGGGCCTGGAGCAGGGAATGCCGAGGGTGGGAGTTCTGGGTGGTGAGGCCCGCGGCCGGACACCGGTGCAGTCGGGGGGCCCCGCTCGCCCGGGAGCTGCCGGCTGCAGCCCTGCTCAGCTGTTGGGGCTCAGGCCCACCACGTGCCGGGCTGACGGGAAGGCCCCGGCCAGGGCAGCTGCTCAGGCAGCCACTGATGTGGTCAGGTGGGGTGTCTCAGACCGAGACCTCGTGGGGTGCAGCTGGACGGCTGCAGTGCAGAGAGCAGGTGCTGGGCGGGAGGAGGGGTGTTGCTGTTGGCAGTGGTGAGATCATAGACCCTGGTATTCCCAGAGTGGGGGTCCTGCCCGTTTGGGGTGAACACAGACACCCCACGACCAGGCGCGCACGCAGCCTGCCCACGTGCATGGGCGCCCATGGGGCTGGGGTACAGTCAGGAGGGTGTTGAGCAGCGGGGGTGGCGGCCAGGATGCTGAGGTCTGAGGACCCGTGTGGCGGCGGCGAGCGCCGAGGCCCCGGTGCTCACCTGGCGAGCAGGTGGGGCTCCTGGAGCTGGGGTAAGAGCGAGGGTCGTGAGCTGTGGAGGCGGTGGCCGGCAGAGGTTTGTGGGAGACGGTCTCGTCAGCTGCTGCGAGGCGGCGGCTGAGGCGCGCGGAGGCCGGGTGGGGTGGGCGTCACGGGCGCCCCGGGGCCTTTCCCTGCGGCGGGGCCAGCACTTGCCAACACTTGAGGTTTCGGGGGAGCAGGGCAGGGTCAGTGAGTGGGCTGCAAAGGGGGCTGGTCCCCGGGAAGGGGTGGTGGTGCGGAACGAACCAGCGTGCAGATGGGAGGGCGAGGTCTGGGGCGGGGGCACACGCGGGCTCCCCGAGGACCCCGTGTCTCAGCGCTGTCCAGGGGCTGTTGTGGGGACGGCCCGAAGCCGGTCCGGCCCAGGCGCCCGTCCCCCTCGCTGGCCAGGCGGCTGCCGCCTGGGACCACTCGATCCGGGAGCACCTCTCCGCCTGGCCCTGCAGGGCCCTCGCTCCACCCTGCGGCCAGGCCACGGCCCGGTGACGCGGTCTCGTGCCGCTTGTCCTCCTGCCTGGGCCCGGCTCCACCCCGAGGGCCCTGCCCAGCGCTCCTGGCCACCAGGGTCTCCCGGGGATGGGCCTGCCCCAGAATCCTCCCCGCAGTCACTCCAGGGAGCACCTGGACACCCTGCCCCACGTCCGGGCTGGCCCGCACCGCCGGACCCCGGCTCTGCACGCGGAGGCCTCCCGCTGCCCCTGCCCGCTCTGGCCACCGCGGGGGCCTGGAAGGAGGCGAGGCCAGTGTGGCGGCTGCAGCACGGCGCCCACGAGCTCTGAGAACAGGGAGCGTGGCGGTCACCCGTCCCCGCCTGCAGGCTTGCGTGGCCCCAAGGGGAGCCCCCAGACGCGTCAGCTCCTTTGCAGAACGCCCAGGGGGCTGTGCCCTGTCCCTAACGACGTCCGTTTCCTCTTGCAGGGAATTGTGGGTAACCTGGCCAGCGGCAAGTCGGCCCTGGTGCACCGGTACCTGACCGGCACCTACGTCCAGGAGGAGTCTCCGGAAGGTACGCGGCGGCGGCGGCCTGCCTCGGGGGTGGTTTCCCAGATCTTCCTGTAGATGTCCTGAGCCCTTGCCTGGTGCAGCCCACCTCAGGGAGGTGAGGGGACACCGAGGAGCAGGGACCCTGCGGCGCAGGGACCCGCGTGGCCTCGGCGGCGCCCGGGGTGAGCGGGGCCGC